AAAAGAAAAAAGAAAGTGCTAGCATTTCCACTCAATTTACCATTTCAGAAGTACAGCGAAAGGCAAAGGTATATTTATTTACTTTATTTTATTTTTTTACTTCTATTTTTGTTTCTTTTGGTTAGCAATAGCACACATCACAGCTAAATAAAATTTAATTAATTTTTTCATGAATTAAGAAATAATTTTATTAATTGAAAATTGAAGTTGAAGGATTTTTTGGTACTTTCTGAAGTTTAAGGATAAATTGATTCAAAAATAAAAATTGAGGGACCAATTTAGGTATTTAACCTAAAAAATATGTTAGTCACGTAAGCATCACTATTCAATTAATCTTTAAATATAAAAAGTTGAAAGTTGACATTTTTAAATAAAAAATTTTAAAAGTTGACATTCTTATTTAGAAACTGACAAAGTTAACATCTTTATTTAGAAAATGACAAAGTTAACATCCTTATTTAGAAAAAAATTGAAAGTTGACATCCTTATTTAGAAACTGATAAAGTTAACATCCTTAAATAAAAAAAAATGCGCAGTTGGAATTCTTATTTACACCTTTGCTCAAGTTAAAAATGTTTTATGCTGGGAAGATAGAGTCTCGAATGAAGAGAAACTGAGAAAGCCAAGAATTTTTTTATTTATTTATTAGCTGAACAAGGAAGCAAAGAGTTTATTATTTATTTTTATGTTAAGTAAAAGCAAAGAGTTTGAATAAAAGGGTTTTTAAGTTATTCTTGTAAGGTGCTCAAGAAACAAAGTGTTTAAAGAAGTGATAAAAAAAAAAATCTAATTCCAAAGTTATTTGCTGTGGTTTAACATAACAAAAACGACATAAAAATGAAATTATTGTCCATTTAACTATTCAAATGCTATTAAAAAAATCAAAATTATGTTGTATGATGCAATCTATACAACTTAAAATTATTAAATAAGAAGAGTGAGCCCTCTATTGTTTGGAACTATTTCATATCTATTAGTTTCTGTTTATTGTGTAGTGCAGTCCGAAGTGTCAAAATCAAGAGCTATTCAACTACAAATCTGCAATAGAGTA